TATTATGTATGATGCAATACCAGCTTCAGATTGCATCATTCATTGTTTTGCCTAAAAAGCAAGTACTGTCCTAAACCCAGTCATAGATTTATTCATAGATCCAGTCCAAGATGTATTTTAGTCATTTCTGGTTTAAATTGAGATCCCTTCCCTTTATAACTCACTTATCCTCCGCCATTCCCAAGTCAAGGGTTGTATATACTGACCCAATAGCATATCTTGAAAACTAGAGCCAATCAACAATTTTAAGCATCATTTTTGTTCTCAGTGACCCAGAATTAGTAAAGTTTGACTACATTTATTTCAGAAGCATTTTGGCTGTAGAGCAGTGTAATTGGAAAATGATGGATAATATGGTCAGAACATGAACCAGTATTGCTCTCTCTGATGGTGATCCCATCATTAATGATGGTGAGCCTGCAATTAATGAATCCACCATTTATTCCTGGTGATTAAACTGCCTTGTACTCTGGGAGCACTAATAAAAGTGTGTATTGGACTCTTTAAAACTTAAAATTAGACTTTAGAACTTTGAACTTCTTGATAAAGGTAAAATTAAAAGGGCCCCGGGCGGCATGGGCCAGGCAGCGGGGATGGGTTGGCTGGGGGAAGCTGACCCCCCAGCCCTGCCCCTTCTGCCCAAGGCCCCTGGAATGGTAAGTGCTTAATGTTACTTTCACCCCTGCCTTCACAACATTCCCTGGTAATTCGACTGTGCATTGTGTGAAGAAGTACATCCTTATGTTAGTTTTAAACCTGTTGCCTATTAATTTCATTGGGTGTCCACTTATTCTTTTTATGTGAAGTGGTAAATAACACTTCCCTATTCACTTTCTCCACATCAATAATGATTTTATAGACCTCTATCATATCCCACCCCCTTAATCGTCTCTTTTCTAATCTGAACAGTCCCAGCCTTTTTAATCTCTCCTCATATAGAAGCTGTTCCATACCTCTAATCATTTTTGTTGCCCTTCGCTGTACCTTTTCCAATTCTAATATATCTTTCTTGAGATGAAGTGACCAGACCAGGGGGGGAGGGATAGCTCAGTGGTTTGAGCATTGGCCTGCTAAACCCAGGGTTGTGAGTTCAATCCTTGAGGGGGCCACTTAGGGATCTGGGGCAAAATCAGTACTTGGTCCTGCTAGTGAAGGCAGGGGGCTGGACTCGATGACCTTTCAAGGTCCCTTCCAGTTCTAGGAGATGGGATATCTCCATTAATAAGAACTGCACACAGTATTCAAGGTATGGTTGAGGGGTTTGGTGCTGAGTAATTGAAAATGCCCCTAGTTATGATAAATAGGGACATTTTATAACATGTAAACAATGTTGTCCTTTTTTTAAAAAAATCTCTGTACCAGTATTCCCACAACCTTATGTCCACAACCTGCATGTTATGTGGCATATTGGTTCCTGTCTATCTTGACAGTTTGGCCATGAATGCTAAGGACCTTCCACACTGTATATACTTTGGAAGGTCACATATAGTATGGACTTAATGAAGCCTGACGCTACAGACACCTTTAACCACATCCATTGTGATATGTCTCTGGGCATAACTAGTCAAACCCTAAGTATTTAAGATGCAAGAATTTTGACTGTGGTGACAGTAATGGGTTAAAACAGTTATGAACTTCCCAGTGAAGGAACTATACTGGGAAGGTGGGATGGAGGTGGATGTGAAGTGTGAGAGGTAAGAATGCTAGAGTTGTTGTTTTCTCAATGAAGGTGAGTTGGATGATAGTCTGTGATTGTACAAGGACATTTGTTTGGTAAGTGCATGGTGTGTATACTACCCTAATAAATAACATTCAGCCTAAAGAGGATATGTGGCTCATGTCAGACTTAGTGTGCAGATTGATGTAAGTTTGTTTTATGATTTGGGGTAGAGCATGGATGGTTATGCAGGGGCAAAGTTATAGCTGTTTGGGGTTCCAGACCTCTACCTTTCCATTTTTGTTAACATTTAATCCAAGACTGGATAAACAGAGTTTTACATGCCGGAAAAGGCTAGAGATAAAAAATCTTCAAAGGGGTTTAGTAGTGGGTTTGGTTCATTTCAGTGGTTCTTTAGTCTGAGATCCACAAAATGGCTGATAAAAAGTCCTAAGTAAAAAAAGGTGGGGATTCTAGTTTGATAATGTGGTGAGGAATGTGGTTAGCTGTCATATAATCATGTATTTAGCCTCACAGTGCATAAACCAGACCCAGGTTCATGCTATAAAAGATATTGAATTCCAGAAGATCAAGCCACCTGATCTGTGCAAGTTACTAGTTCAGCCAGATATCATGGTAGTGGAAAAGACAGAGAAAAATGGGGAAATGCCCATTGGGGAAATGCCTATAGAATTGAATAGCATTCTATAGACATTCTATAGGATCTATATAATTCTCTATTAAATTCTAGAGAACAGTTTAAAAATTCTATAGAAAGGTTATTATTTTTCACTAATTTCTAAAAGGCTTTCTCATAAAGGTATTATGGAGGGTAGGGGGACCCGAGACTGCCCCAGCAGCAGCCAGTCATGGGAAGTCACAGAATCCGTGAGTTCTGTGACCTCCATGACAAACACGGAGCCTTAACACTAAAATGGAATAA